TGCCTATTGGTCCCGGTTGGTGCTACCAACCGGGACCAAAGGGTCTCCTGCCTGGGCTCCGCGCACAGGCCACATGGAGGCCCATCAGTCCTGGTTCTGGATTGAACCGGGACTAAAGGGGCAGGGCATTAGTACCGACCCTTTAGTCCCGGTTCAGGAACCGGGACAAAAGGCCCTTACGAACCGGGACAACAGGCCCTTTTTCTACCAGTGTTGGTTTTAAAGCGTTGTTGCAGCACTAACAACTTTTCAAAAAATCTTCCTTTATAATTGCTTATTGGGTTTAAAGTGTTGTTGCAGTAGATCCCCAATATGCCCCCTATACTTAGACTAACATATGTACCCCCACCTTTCTCTCTCCCACTCTCGTGTGCAATAAACACAACGGCGAAGCTCGACCTACCGACAACATTCGACGGCGAGCAGAGGGAGGAGTGGCAACAGCGGTGAGGACGACGTGGTTGTCGATGACAGAAGGAGTGGCGGTGGCCGAATGCAGCAGAGGGAGGTGGTGGCGGTGCCACGACTGGCAGAGTTGCAGGCGTCGGGAAAGGCGGGCAACAATTAGTTCTAGCAGTGGCGCAACCAGTCAGTGCCCACCTCCGCGTGATTGTGAGCACAAGTGACAATGGATTGCATATGGATGGTACCTGAGAAGTTGACTTCATAGGTTTAACAAAGGGCATCTTTAGCCGATCCCCTAAAACCGCTTAGAGGAGTAAATATCTGGTTTACTCCTCTAACCGGGACATAGCCGAACTCTTAAATCATATAAGGGAGTAAAAAATTTACTCCTCGTGGCGGCCGAGGAGTAAAAATATCCGCTCGCTCGTCCGCCCAATAAATCGCACCCAACACTCTCTCCATCGTCCGACCGTCCAAATCCACCCCCGTGTGTCTCCTTCCATGGCTGGATCCGGCCGGCGTCGCTCGCCGTCGCCCATCTGCAGCGCCTGCCCGGTGGATAGACCCCGCACGGCCGCCTTCTCCCGCGCCGACGTCGCCTAATCTTCCTGTACCTCCTCCTCCTCTCGCGTCGTGCCGGGGCCAAACTACCGACCGAGACACCAGGAAAACCCACTGGTTCGACAATTTTCACTCGGAGAAAGCTGCGACGAGTGCATACGACATCAAGTCAATGCACTTGTATGGCGTCGTCGGCCGCCGAAACTTCTCTGACGGCTATCTGCCGCCTCCGGAGCCACCGTTGGACCAGCATGTGGCCAATGCCCGTGAGCGCCGGGAGGACAGAGAAGCCCGCGAGCGACACGCGCCCGAGGCTGACGGTGAGGCGTACATGGCGGAGCTCTACCGGTGCTACCCGAACCAAGGCGGAGCACCGCCTGTACACGGAGTACGCCGCGGGAAGGATCGAGGTGGAATATCGAGAACTACAGGGGGTTTCTGTAAAATTATCGACAGATGGGCAGAAGCACTATTCACTTTATTAGTATAGGTCTGTCAGGTCTGTTTAGGGCACATCTAGATGTGCCATAATTATCGCACATCTAAGTCCTCAATCAAATTAGAAAGAAAATGAAAAAAAGACAAAGAATATTGCACAAATCTTAGTGTAAAACCAATGATATACTACATTCGTTTCAATTTACAAGTCCTACGCGTACACCTAGATTGTCAATTTTATCACCTTAATATAAACTATATAACACAAAAATTATACAGTTTGAAAATAGAACATCTGAAGTTTATATTGGTATACTTTTTTATAATATATGACTTGTATTAGGTTGGTCAAATTGATGACTTAGGGGCACGCGCACGCCCTGTAAACTGAGAGAGGGGTAGTAGCTAGGATTTAGATATGCAAAACTTATAGCACATCAATATGTCCTTTAGCAAAATTGATATAGATTTTGAATTGGCGCCGAACTTCGGCTAGTATGTTCAATAAGTGCTTGTTTGAATCGACCTTGTGTTTGTTTGCTCGAATTCGTTTTATACTCGACTAAACTTAGAAGTTCGGCTAGGTTCAACCAAAACTTTGGGAGTAAATTCACTCCAATAATGTTACTCGACGGTTTACTTCGCCATTCTTTAAGATCGACTAGAGATGTCCTAACAACTCAGTACCACACCAGAGCCTTCATAAACCAACTGCCAATTTGTTGTTACATGATTTGGATTGGGACTTTTTGTCAAGAGCAAAAGGCATGACGCGGCATATCTTCTTTTTTCCTTCTCGAAGAAAACGAGATGTATCTACAGCATGGGTGCACCGCCAATGATCATGCCTTTGGACAGCTCGCCATACTTATCTTTACTTATTCTCATCTGATCACTAAGTTTTCCCAGAGCAAACCAAGATAGATAACAACAGAGGAAAAAGTGGCGTCATCCGAGCCATCCAAAGGAAAACGAGCGGTCCAGATATACTGCGCCCGAGCGAGTCGCACGAACGTACGGGAGAAAGAAACCGAAATCAACAACAGGTGGGACGGTCATCTTCCTCCCCCACCCCTCTCGCATCGTCTCCACCCGACCGCCACTCCCCACTCTGCCGCGACCCTCTCGACGCGGCGGCCGCCGCCGGGATGACCGCCTTCTAGCACACCACAACCGATCTCCCGCGGAGTCCCCCGCCCGCCCCTGCGCCGCGCCGACAGAGATCCGGGACCTCGTTGGTGAGCTGCCGACCCCCTCTGCCCCGAACCCCCCCAGCGATTTGTCCCGATTCGTTTCCGGCTCCTGCCCGCGCGTTCGCGATGTTACGGAGTCTCTCGTGACCAGATGCGTGGTTGGGCGGTGGCTTTTGGTCCTCCTTTTACCGTAGGGCGCTTGGGGTGGAGACCTCGCCGATTTGGGGATTTCCATGGCTGTTTGTAGGCACGAAATGTCAGATTGGGAAAAAGTATATATTAAACGATGGTTAGTGAAATCTTTGTGACTTGCACGATGATAGAGACATATGGTTTGTAGCCTGAAGCTGAGGAGTGACCAGTAGGCCGGATAATGTTGTAATTCCATGGGAATTGCGTGACTGGTACCTGCTTAGGATTTTTGGGTCTGATGACATTTTCTAGAAGGTAGGGCACATATAGACTCGATTATCTAAGCAGGGCTTAGTCGAGTTTGCTAGAAACTATCTCTGACTGAACCTGTTTGAGGAGTCATAGGCTTTATTAGGCTCTGGATACCGTATGATTGTGAACCTGTCATGATGCGAATGGCTATTTTATTTTCTCAAGTTGGTTAAAAACAAGAAATCATATCTTTGCTTAATAATTGCCTTGTTTATTGTGATACAATTAAATAGCTCAAATTGGGTGTATTGTCATCAACTCAGAACCTGCTATTGCTTTCATATAAATCATGTAGGGCTGAACTAGACTTGGTGGTCCTACGTTTTGTAATTTATGTTCAGAAGAAGCAATGTTTTCTTTTGACCACTAAGCATTCTTCTTATTGCAACTATTAAATGATGAGTAAGCCATGTGTAGAATTTGTAGGATTTGTTTGATCCTCCCATAGTTCTATTTAGAGATGCTTAGTTGGGCAATAGCTCAGCTAGCCAGCTTTTGCGTTGGTTCTTTTGCTTACCAGCCTTGCCCTGTGAAACTGTTGTGAGGAGTGGGTCATTGGTTTTTCTTTGCGAAAAGTTTGCCATCGGAAGCGAGCCGATTTGGCTTTCCTGATCTAGCAAGGTTTTTGTAGCCCACCCAAGCTAGCTGGCCCACAAAAACTAAGATATTTGAACAGTTCCAAACACCTAGCCTTGCCCGGCAAGGCTATAACTATTCTTGCCTAGGATCCAAAAGAGTCCTTAATGTGCTGCTAGTCCTCTGTAGACTTTACTGAGCGGATTAAAACATTGTCGTGATAATTTAGTTATTTTACCACGATTTTGTAACTAGAGTAATTTCTTCTAGTTTATATGTTACGGTAGGGATAATTAACTGTTTTGAAAAGCACTGCAGGTCTAATGTGATAGCACACATGTAGTTTATCTAAACAGTTCTTATCTAAAACTAGTGAATGATGCTCCTTCCCGATAAGTTTCCAGCAGTAAAAATGTTTACAATAACTTTCACGGATGAATTCCTGCTTGCCGAGTTTCTCACCTTCTTTAGATACCACGGTTATTGTCAATTTGTTTATTAGTTTTTTTATTAGAGAAGTGCTATATGTACTGAAAAATCTGTACAAATTAAGTACTCCCTCCGTTCGGAATTACTTGTCACAAAAATGGATGTATCTAGACGTATTTTAGTTCTAGATACATCCATTTCCGAGACAAGTAATTCCGAACGGAGGGAGTACTTACTCAGGGTAGCTACAAAGCCGACTGAGAAAATCGCCACCTAATCAACTAGGCCACACATTATTAATCCCTCCTCGACTAAAGTAGATACGTATGCAGTCAGTAATATCACTTGGCACTCTCAGCATTTCTGTGTTTGTTATGTGGTTTCTGAAATAGCTAATGCACAGGGAAACTGTATCATTGTTCTAAAAAATAAACATGATTATGTAGTTAATATGACTCATTGCCTGTCTTGTCAATTGGTTGTTTACTTGATTTTTTATGGACTGCTGGCTTTATTTCATTTATGAGAGCATTTCACTTTTTGCTCAACATAAATACTTGTGGTCAGTTTTACTGGAGAAATTGGCATTCCCTCTATGTAGGTATGGTATTATTCGCTTGTGAGGCATTCTGATTTTTTGCTGTACATCAGGACTGCAGATGCACAAAACATAGTGTACCAGCTCTTCCTCACTCAACATGTGGAGTTTTGCATCAAATGCCATAGCTGGAAGCATAAAGAAAAAGGTACAACCATCAAAAGGCAGCTTATCCAATCATGATTGCTCTGATGACGATGGTTCTTCATGTGCAAGTCGAGAGGAAGGCCTTGAATGCCCAATTTGCTGTGAATCCTTCAACATCGTAGAGAACGTTCCTTATGTCTTGTGGTGTGGTCACACAATGTGCAAGAACTGCATCTTAGGTCTTCAGTGGGCTGTTGTCAAGTTCCCAACCCTTCCTATCCAGCTGCCTCTCTTTGTCTCGTGTCCTTGGTGCAACCTATTATCTTTCCGGCTGGTGTACAAGGGCAACCTCAAGTTCCCACGTAAGAACTACTTTCTGCTGTGGATGGTTGAGAGCATGAATGGTGACAGAGCAAAGTTCCATTCCTCTGGTCATGAAGAGCGCCAATCAGTATGTCCCTCCAGTGGCGGCACCAGTTCCAGTCAACACCACCGAAGAACCCCTACGGCACGAGCAGAGACCTCCTCTTCTGCCAGAGATAGAAATGCCACTGCCAACACCTCCAACACTGCCAGCGTGTCTCTCCAAAAGCTTATGGTGTGCTTCGTGCAGCTGACGGCCAAGTTCCCGCTCGTGATAATGTTCCTCCTCATAGTTCTCTACGCCGTCCCTGCCAGCGCCGCGGTTCTGCTCCTGTACGTCCTTGTCACGTTTTTGTTTGCGCTGCCGTCGTTTCTGATCCTCTACTTTGCTTATCCCACCTTGGACTGGCTCGTGAGAGAGATATTCACTTGAGCCGTGCTGTTCTGAAATGTAAGTACAGTTTATATAGCTTTGTGAAGGTGAAAACAAAGCTTGGATATCTATTTCCATCCGTGGCGCCACTTTGCTGTTATGTCCTCTGTATAGATAGCCCTTTTCTGTTCCTTGTTTTATTTTTACCTCTTCTGCTCTGGCCTTTAGAGGCTGTGGTTTGCTGTAACTGTCTGCTCATTGAAATGTTGTTCTTGTTCATGAGTGCCCCAATCTTTGTAATTTTCCTTTTGTTGTGGTCAGGTGTTGTATTCCCTCCTATCCATATTTATTGTCGCTGCTCTACTAGAGGGAGTACCATGTTTTGCCGCTCTTTCGGGAATGCTTGCGTTGCAATGTTCTCATACAGTTGCTTACATTTTGGTACTGATTCTTTGCTTCGGGACATGGCTTTTGCATGTCGAAATGCGGTTCTGTAGACGTCTGCCTTCTCGGACTTGCCAACCAAACATGGAGTCGGCATTGCTGTTCATCAAGTTAACTAACGCTTTATACACTTGTGGCAGATGAGCATGTTGGCCACGGTCCTTGGCCCTGACGAACATTCTCGCTTTCGACCAGTCTGTTGCGGAGAAGGCCTACATCAAATTGAGATTCCATCAGCCATGCTCCAGCGTGTGCGGTCCGGCCGCTCCGCATGTCTTTTTTAAGCATCTCCAACAGACGCGCGACGCGCTAAAAAGTAGTTTGCAGCGCGTCTATCGTCTGTAAAAGCGTGGCGGGCAGCGCTGGCTTCAGCAGCCGTGCTAAAATTTAGCGCACGCGCGTAGCTCTAGCAGCCGCGTTAAAATGCAGCGCGTATCGCATGAACATTGCGTACATATTTTTAAATAAAAACGATACTAAATAAAATTCATAGATAAAAACGATACATATATATTTTACATAGTTTCACAGTATACATAGATAAAACTATGGTGCAACGACATAAAAAAACTACTAGATAGTGCAACTACAACCTATTCTCAGTCGTCGTCATCATCATCATCCTCGCTAGTCTGGTTCGAGGTATCGAGCCACATGTCGTCCCAACGAGGATCATTAGCCGAAAAGATCGACTGCCCACCATTTTCAACGATATCGCACTGCGATAGCGCCAGGGCCTTCCGCCGATGCCTCTCCAACCGATTCGCGCGGCGCTTTGCCGTCCTCTCTGCCCAGTAGGCTTGCTCGTTGGCGACGTTCTCCGGGTGGCGCCGGTGCCATTCCGCCATGCCTCGCTCGTCCTCCTCGGCGATGAGGAGGCGGCGCTGCCGCCGAGTCTGCTCCGCACGGCCCTCGTCCGTGATAAGACGAGGCGGAGGGGCGACGTCCTGCGCCTGCTGGCGCATGTACATGTCCTGGAAGTTCATCTGCGTGTGCGGCCTGTCTAGGCGCCATGCCGCCACGTCGTACGCGTAGGCGGCGTCGTACGCGCAGTCTGGAAAGGTGCTGAGGTCGAGCCGGATGTCGCCGGACTGGATCTCAGCGTAGTACCAGCCGTTGGGGCGCTGGCAGACGGAGCGGTAGCCCGACGCTCCTCGGCGGCGCGGCATGGTGGCGCGTCGGTGACGGGGCGCTGGAGCGGTGAGGAAGCAAAGGAAGCTACGAGGAAGCGGGAGAGGTACGCGGTAAACTAGGTTTTTAGTACGGCGAGCGTCGCAATTTATAGACGTGCCGAAAGCGGTGCGTCAAAAGTAGCGCGCGAGCTACCGCCTTTTTCCGCGCGCGCAATCGTTTCCGGCGCGCGTTAGTTTTTCGTCCTCGTTGGAGCGCGTGAAAATGTCCTCGCGTACTAAAAACCTAGTTTACCGCGCGCGCGTCTTTTGACGCGGCTGTAGAAGATGCTCTTAGATGCAGCTGCACATGCTTTGGGTCGTAGAAAGCACGAAGAGCCAATATAACACGCTGATAAGATTATGGATCTGCTACGCAACTAGGCGTCCACTCAGCTCACTTAGCATGCCGTTGTTGTGCCGCCTGCGTCCCGCCTCAACACCGAGCATCGTCAAGCTCCGGCTTCATTTGACTTGTGAGGGTGTGACCAAATCTGCGCTCCCCTCCAAGACGCTTCATCGTGGGTCTTGGACGTCGGATGTATCCGCAACTGTTAGTTTGGCACATCCGTCTGATGTGGTGCTACAATCCGTTCTGGTGGTTCAGACTGAGCATCTGCAAGGCTTGTTGGCGTGTGTTGGGAGCATTCTACGGCAAGTAAAGGTTGCTTTGAGCAGGCTTTTATTGGGCCGACTATGTTGCAGACCTCTCTGATGGTGCATCATCTTGGTGAGGTCGGTGTTGGCTCCGTAGAGGAGACTGGAGCAGAGCTATATGGTTGTTTCTCCCCTCGTCCTCATGTTCGGGACAACTCCCAATCCATGTCTGCCTTGATCCCTATGTCGTGGCTCTGGTGCTATAGAGCGTGACCGAGCTTCTGGAGCTATGCCCGAGCCTTGCTTCGCCTTTGTCAATGGAGCATACGAAGGTGGACTCGGTGATGACCTCGTGCGAGGGGTATGATTTGCCTCTATCATGTCAACAACTCAAGGTGAACTCGCCTGGGCACTAGAATGTGGCTTTGGTGCCCACTCCACCCCCAATGTCACATTGGGGCTGTTTGGATTTCGTCCTGGCCAGCCCGACCAACACAGGGCGTGCCAATATTTTGGCGAGAGAAACGGCCGCCTCCGTTCCGCCAGCTCGTGGGCGTGGAATCTGAACAGCGAGCCAAAAAATTAGTAAGGCTCCCTAGATTTGGCCACTATCCAAACGAGTGCCCATGTTTCCAGTCAACGCCCATTTTTTGGCGTGGTAGCTCTTGGCTACCATCCAAATAGCCCCATTATCCTGATGCTTTTTTCGCAAAAGGTCTTTGTGACGTGTTTGTTAGTTTGGAGCCGCTAGCCCTGGATTTGTTAGGGCAATTGCTTGCCTCCTAACGGGGACGATGCAAAAGCAAGAAGGGGGGCGGGAGGGGGCGTACGTAAGGTTGGAGGACAATTAGGGGCAAAACCGAGAGAGGGAGCTGGGAACATACTTAAGGTTAGACGAAACGTTCTACCTGCAGTAGAGATAGAGAAGAGAAAAGAAGACTGGCTAAATACATATCAGAAGGCCGACGATAGCGCAGGTCGACCATCACAAGCGACCGATCCATCACCTCGCGCTTCGCTCTTCGCATCGCTTCAGTTGCTCGATCGGCCCCACAAGTTGTCCCTATCCTTCACCGGTCATCTCCTTCCTCACGTCAAATCCCTCTTCCCCAGAAGGCTTCTCCTGAGAGATGTGCTCCCCTTCTACACCCCGCCCCATCCCTGCAGAGGGATCTCTTGGTGTGGCGGCACTCCAACATTAGCTGTGGTGCCCTTCCCCACATTCTCTCATCAAGCA